CTCACGGGTGTGGCTTTACACGGATGTAGTTCTTGGGAACAAAACCTTCAGCTCCTCGGAGCTCTGCCTTGTACCAGTTCTGGTCATCTTCCATGTTCAGGATCTGTAGGCAGAAGCAACATGGCCACTTAGCCACCTGCCGAGGTCTTGCTGTATGCAGCAGTTCCCAGGCCTTTCACAGAGAGCAGAGCCCTGGATGAGGACCTGTTACATCCCACAGGCCAAGGCAGCCTACAGGCAGATGGTCATCCTTGGGAGGCCTGTGCCTCCCGGTGAGGCAACTAACCCATGCAGGTTTGTGGTTATGGAATAGGGCATTGCGGCTTCTATGCTCTTCCATCTTGGCCCACCAGAGGCCTCAGGGAAAGGGAGTAGTAGACTTGTGATCCTTAGCTCTTTTGATTGCAGGAGCCCAGAGCAGCCAATCAATGACCACTGAGATGTGACATGAAGTTGGAGGCCCCCAAATGAGTTGGCAAGCCCCAACAGATGGCTATTTTGGGTCACATGTATCTAGTGTTTGGGATGACAGTGAGAGTCAGGAATAGGGGAAAAAGCAAAAGAGCCGGTGTTCTGATAAAGCCCTGTCACCCCAGGTGGACTAGCCAGAGCTGGATAGAGAGTCACTGGGTAAACAACTGAAGGATGGAAATTGGGCCTAGGGAGGGGACAGCACACTTCGCCAGTGGGTACATTTGTCCCGTGTCACCCCAATTCTCAAGCAACCTGAAGAAGTTGACATCACCAAGTGCTGTTTCACAGACAGGCTTAGAGAAGGAGTGAACTTGGCCAATGCAGCACAGCAAACAGTTGGCCTGGGGCTTTGGAAATGCTGGTCTTGGGGGCCTTGGCCCACTACTGGCTTTCACCCGACTCTACTCCTACTTTGTACTCGAGCCAAAACTGAGGCCCCTCTCTGGCTAGGAACTGCTGCAAAGCTGGATCCCCCATACCAGAATGATAGAAACAGGGACACAGACATGTTTAAGTATGATCCACCTGAAAGGATGGGCTTGTGCTTAGGCCCCCCCATCCCCAAGGCACTGGAGCCAAGCTGAGCTCTTTCTTCCTTTCTTCCTGGCCTGAACCAGGTCAGCAGCAGTGGACAGACAGAAGCAGGTAGCTGGCTCAGAACCACTTTCATTCAAAATGAAACAAAATTTCCCAGATGTGGCCACAGCTTGAGATAGAAGTCCTAGCCAATGCTCTTGAGCTCTGGTCACTTCTGCTATCTCTAGAGTTTTGGCTTCAGCATCCTTGTCTGTTAAATGGGTATAGATTTGGCCAACACCATACAATGTCTTATGATGTAGTACTATGTAGCCACAGTGTCTGTTACCCCTGCTGTCCTGCTTGTAACCATCTCTTTATAGAGACCAGGGATGCTTCTGTGCTTACCTTGCTGAATTCTTGATGGAGCCCCAGACCTTTGGAGCTTTGGAAATTCCCCCGGAGAACACACTTCAGGGTACTACTGCTTCCTAGTTCAAGCACAGAGCCTGTCTGCCCCACCCCTGGCCCTAACTGCTGCAGGTCTTCCTTACTGTCCCCAGACAGTAAGGGGCCTAAGCACAAGCCCATCCTTCCTTACTGCAGTCACTGACAGCTTTCTGATGAGCACCTACTGGGTGCAGACAGCAGAAGGAGTCCTAGAGATGCAGTAAGCAATAGGAGCTTGTGCCCCAGGGGCAGTAATGCTGTGAAGAAGCAAAAAGATAAAGGAGCAGCAGCTTCATGCAGTGGGAGTGCTGTGGGAACTGTTGTTTGGACAAGGAGCTGCCAAAGGGACACACAGAGTGGCACTCAAAGGCCTCTCCAGAGATGCCCCAGTTTATAAGAAGGAACCAGCTAATTTGGTGGTCCATGCTTGCCACCCTAGCACTTAGAAGGCTAAGGTGGGAGGATTGCAGAGTTCTAAGCCTGTTTGGGCTATATAGTAAGACCATGTTTTTGTAGTTCTCCACCCCCCAACGGCAACAACAACAAAATAAAGGAGGGGGGGAGAAAAAGAAACCAATGGTGAAAAGATAGAGGGAATAGGGGAATAGACAGAACACAGGCTCTGAGATGAGCCCAACTTTGTCCCCTTAAAAGGAGGCTAGTGTGTCTGGCTGTGGCAAAATGCAGGGAGAACAGCATGTACTGAAAAGCACTGCACTAGCTCCATGACCAGAGAAGAGGAGCTGGGGACAGGGAGAGATGCTCAGATTCAGCAGGGTAGGAGTCCAGAGTTGGAAGGACTCAGGGCCAGGCGCATGGGTGCTATCAGCTTCCCAGGGGATAGCAATCAGTCTGGTCTTTGGGGCATCTGACCTCTGCATATGTACCTGTACACACACACACACACACACACACACAGAGAGAGAGAGAGAGAGAGAGAGAGAGAGAGAGAGAGAGAGAGAGAGAGAAGTGCCATGTTCTTCCTCCAGCAAACAGTGACATGGTGCTGTCTACCTAGAAGCATTGCCAAAGAGGACCTTCATCCCTGGTAAGAGTCACTCAGGTGTCAGATGGTGGTGGTGCACACCTTTAATCCCAGCACTCAGGAGGTAGAGGCAGGCAGATCTCTGTGAGTTCGAGGCCAGCCTGGTCTACAAAGCTACACAGAAAAACCCTGTCTCAAAACACCCCACCCAAAAGAAAGAAAGAAAAGAAAAGAAGAGTCACTTAGGGCCACATGTCCTGAGTGAGACTACGGGCCATGGGGTTTCCACCTAGATTTTTTGAGCAGCACCTAGAGAGGAAGTTGTGTTTCACCTGCAAGCTTGGCATGACATGGTGACACCCATTAGAGCCCAATAGGGGTGGGGCTGGACACCAGCACACAGTGTAGTCCTGGCCAGACAGGAAGCGCAGCTGCTGTATACATGGTTGTAATGTTTTTAAGTTACAGACAGCAGAGGAAGCACTCTGGGGTCAAATTCAAAGCGATGCCAAAAAAAATCTGAGAATGAAGATACTGAGTAATGTTAAACGCGATATGTTAACAGGCTGAAATGAATAGGAAATCTAGATGTGTGGTGGTCAGTGTGCACATAGCAATCCAGTTCATCATAACCACAGATGGTGGCTGGTTGCACCAGTGAGGATGCAATGCACCCTTTTATCTGTGTGGTTTTCCTGCTAGTCTAAGACAGGCCTAAAGCATAGCTGGTGAAAATCAATGCAAAAAGGATTTCAGAAACAGCCCTGCAAGGACTCTGAAGTGGGACCCAGAGGTAGCTTGTTTGCCTAATATGCACAAATCCTGAGTGTATCCCTAGCTCTGCAAGAGAAAAGGGGGGCGGGCTGTAGTGCATGAGTCTCTATTCTAGCACTGAGGAGGTGGGGCAAGAGGATCACTGAAGGTTTGAGGCTAGCCTGGGCTACATAGTGAATTCAAGGCTGCCCGGGCTTCACAGGGAGACCTTGTCTCAAAAACAAGAAAGAGGGACAGGGTTGTTGCCAAGCTTGATGACCTAGGTTCAGTCCCTGGGACACACACGGTGGCAGGGGAGAACTGACTTCCAGTTGTTCTCTGACCTCTACAAGTGTACTGTGGCACCTGCACACACAACCCCCCCCCAACACGCACACAATAAATAAGTACAATTTTACAAAAAGGAAGAAAACGAGCAAATAAACAAAAATAATGTGACTTTGTACTGGAACAGTCCTGGCAACTCTGCACCCTAGTGATTTCCTGTGCTCTGGGCAGGGAAGGACAGGTCTCTGCCTAATCCTAACCCTGCACCCGGCTGGCGGCTGGCTCCGAATTCTTACATGAGTGGTGGGGCTACACCCTCAGCCTCCCGAGTGCTGGGATCACTGGCTGTGCCACCACACCCACTCACGTTTACTTCTGTATCTAATTTGTGCTGTGTCCACCACCAGAGCACCAGTTGCCTGAACACAGCAACCCTGCCTGCCTGGCTGCATGCTTTCTGAAGATTAGCTGGACCCTAGGCTAGTACCTAGGATCTGCCAGTTGCCCCAGAGTCCTGACTGATAGAAGAAAGGTCTCTGTCTGGTTATAAAGGGCATTTCTGGGCCCTACAACAGATTATTTTATTTTTTATTTATTCATTTTGAAACAGGACTCTCAGTGCTATCCAGGTAAACTCCTAGGCTCAATCAAAATCCTCCTGCCTTAACACTACTTTTAAGTGCCACCAGACCAAGTGATTTTTCGAGACAGGGTTTCTCTGTGTAGCTTGGGAGCCTATCCTGGCACTCGCTCTGGAGACCAGGCTGGCCTCGAACTCACAGAGATCCACCTGCCTCTGCTTCCCAAGTGCTGGGATTAAAAGCGCGTGCCACCAATGCCCGGCCAAATTTAAAGCTTTTTATATGTTTCCCAGATGTCCATCTGTCACTTCACCTGTCTGTCACTCCACAAGGAAGTACACACCTCTCCACACTCTCAACAATTTAAGAGATTTGGTTTATTTGATTGGTTTTTTCAAAATGAAGTTTTTATTTTGTTATTGTTACTATTTCGGTTTTTCAAGACAGAGTTTCTCTGAATAGCTTTGGAGGCTGTCCGAGAACTCTCTCTGTAGACCAGGCTGGCCTCCTGCCTCTGCCTCCTGAGTGATGGGATTAAAGGTGTCACCACTGCCTGGCAAAAGAAAGTTTTTAAAGTAAAATCCTGGGTATGGTGGCGAACATGTTTAGTTACAGCACTCTGGAGGGAGAAGAAGCAAAGGAAGACATATCTCTGTGTGTTCCAGGACAGCCAGGGTGACATAGTGATATTCTGTCTCAAAATAATAAATCAATTAAAATACAGTGAAGTCATGCAGAATGGGCAGAGGCGCCAGCCATACAGCTTCTGTCATTCACGCATCTGGGCAGCTGCCTGCTCACATTGTTTCTCTGGCAAGTTTCTGTTTGTGTCCCTTGTCTGTTTCCCCACTTGTGGTGTGGGGTCAAATGCCTTTAAGTCCAGCAATGGAGAGACAGAGGCAGGCTGATATCTGAGTTCAAGGCCCACCTGGTCTACATAGTGAATTCCAGAACAGCCAGAGCTATATAGTGAGACCCTGTCTCAAAACAAGACAAAAGAGCTCTTTATAAATTACTGTCGTTTTGGTCACGAATTTTTTTCTTTGTCTGAGCTACCTTTGTGTCTCCGGCTCACCCAACAGGCCAGGACTCCTCCCGTCCCTCTCATACTTTTGTCAGACTCTTCAAACAGGTCAAGGTCCTGCCTCCTCAGGGATTTTGTCTGGGCTGGGTGCTCTCTCTTCCCCAGGCTCTTTCTATGCCCAGGTTTCCATTCCTCTTTTGAGAAGTTGCTCTGTCTTCCCCGCCTATAGCAACCCTCCCAACCCCCAGCCTCCTGCCTCCCTGCCTGTGTCCTTGCTTGGCTAAGTAGCCCAGTGCTTGTCAAATCAATAAAGGGGGAGGCAGCTCCCCTAGGTCTGCTGACTGCCCATAGCCCCACCCCCACCCCCAGCTTGCCATAAGTCTCTTCTGCTTTCCTTCCACCCCTTCACTGAAAGCCAACTGTGCAAGCTGCTTCTGCCTTGGGCTTCCAGGTCCCCATTCTCATGGGCTTCTAATGGGTAGATGGAATTCCCTTCTCCCCACCCCCCTACCTCCCATCCCTGTGTCTCAGTAGACTCTTCGCAAAGTGATTCCTGCTCATCTTGGGAGTCTGTGAAGCAGGAGGCTGTCAGTCTTCATAGAGTTACTCTGGTGACCTCTGAGCCGGGGCCAGAGTCTTCTA